CACACACACACACACACACACACACACACACACACACGGCCGAGGATTCCTACCTAGTCTTACTTTCTCCATCTGATCCTACTGCCCACACAACCTACAGCCATGTAGAAGTACACCTAAAGAGCAAACTGGCACTTTCCCCAATTCCGGGACAGATGTAATGAATCCTCTTTGAATGCTCACTAGTAGGTTTTGTACTTGTAGTCTGAGGTTTATTTCCATTATAGCACAGCAGCCATAGCCAGGTTGGAGAGAAGGTAATGGCACTCACCCCTGCTGCTCATAGTTGGGAGCTAAGGTCAGTTTCCAGCACCAAAAGAGGTACCACGCCTCTAGAGGACTCTAGGATTGAGTGGATGCAAAGGCAGCTGTGGAGGAGGAGAGGGCCTTGGAACCCAAAGAGTAACATATTTATGGACTGATTTTACTACAGCTACGAATTTTACTGTATTCCCTCCCCCAGAAATAGGAAGAATCACAGGGTAGGACTTTATGGGAGGCAGCACTGGGGAAACCCAGGTGACAGAGAACCTATGGAATTTCTTTCTAGTATTTATTACTCTCATGCAATAAAACAGTGGGGGCTCCTGGGGACACTTTATCCTCCTTTAATGAGGGTTTCTGTTCAATCTGTTTCCATCTCCCACCCCCTGTGCACTGTTTTGCTTTGCTTCGGATACCATGGAGACCAAGAGGCACAATTTTTCCAAGGCTCATGCTCTATCCAGATGTTCGACACCATCCAGGTGGATTTACAATTTGGAGGGCCTCTATGATTCACATTACAGGAGCCCACATTTTCAGGTTATGAAAAAGATATAGAGCTGTAAGTTACATCCTAGAGCTCTCTCTCCAAAGGGAACTTAAGGCCTTTTGTGGAGGGAGGGATGGGAGAGGTCCTCACCGCAGATAGCCTGGGGTGGAGTGCTTTAGTTCCTCCTCTCTCCCAGAGGCATCTGCTTTCTCTACACTCAGAGGTATCTCACCAACCTGCTCATTCCAGCTCCGAGAAGCTCATTCCAGCTCCGAGAAGCTCCCAAGTGACACAATTGCTCAAAACACTGGAAGGTGTTAACATGCAGGTTTCTAGACTGGCTAAGACAGTGAATATATCTTTTACTTTGGGGACAGTAAGATCTGGGCCCTAGAAACTTGCATTTTAATAGGCCAGGGTCAAGAAATCTGAATTCGATTTTTGAAAATTGAGAAACAGCATCAGAATCTACTCAATGTGTGTAAGTTAAATAATAACTAAAAAAAAATCCATAAGTAAACACTTCTCAAGAAGCAGAGGACTGCTGCAGAAGGCTCTGAAGTGACTCTTCAAGGTGCGTCCCCACCCCATCACCACCACCTTCAGTTAAAGCACTCTTCATGTTTAACACACTCAGACCCCTTCCTAGATCGTACAACATGTTTTAAGAAAAAATTTTGGAGGATACTGGAAACAAACCCAGGCCTTATGCATGTTAGTCAAGCACACTATCACTGAGCTACAAACCCAGCCCTGTAATTTATACAAATGGAATCGTACTTACTGTAGGGTGCCTTATTTTTTGTCATTCTTCACTTTGATTGTAAGGCTCACCAGTGGTGTTGTGCTGGCCATCATCTGTTCCTTTCTCCGCCGCGTGGTAACCACTGTGTGAAGATAACACAAGAGATATAATTGCTGGTTCGTGGATGATCTCTTCCAGTCCATCAGTTTCACATGCTTTTGAACCAGGCTAATTTTGTTCAGGACGAAATAGTTGGTCAAAGAACTTGAGAGATTTAAGTGCCTAGCACTAGGGTTCAACAGCCTGAGTTTGAACCTGCTTCTACTACTTAGGGGATGATTGTGTGACCTTGGGCACATAGTAATCCCTGTCCATGCTTTTGGATCCTTCATCTATAACATGGAAATAATAATTCCTTTCTCAATGTTATAACAATTCAGTAAAATAGTATATGTAAAATGCTTATGGTCCCTCGAAAGCTTTCAATACATTTATTATCTAGTGTTTTTGTTTTTGTCTCTTTTGAGACTGGGTCTATGTTACCCAGGCTGCCCTCAAATTCACAATCCTCCTGCTTCAGCCTCTTGAGTACTGAAATTACAGGTATGTGCGCTCATGCCCAAAGTTAGATGCTTTGTGAACAGATATTTTGTGAGGTCAATGGCATGATAAGCAGCAGAAGCTTGGCCTTCCAACACAAAGCCTTAGGCTTTTTAATGCCCAGCCCTGGCCCACAAGAGCCATGGAGACTTTGTCAGGCCTAACCAGGGATCGAATTTTGGTCCTTGAGCTTATGAGGCAGAAGGCGGGTCAGCGAAACCACTAAACTAAATCCCCAGCCCTCAGGCCTTTGACTTATGTGCTTATCTGTAGATAGGGGCAGCCTCTGCCCCTGACTTTCCAGGCAGGCTCATTCAGTATGAAGGTATGGTGCTACCTGTAAAGCAGTAGCCAAATGTACCAAGCTATCTGTGCCACCTTTCTTAGAAATGTTTCTAGTATGCTGTGGCATATACTATACCCACTAAGGAGGCTGAGGCAGGAGGCTCACAAGTTTGAGGCCAGCCTGGGAAATGTAATACAAGACCTTGTCTCTGAAACAATTTAAAATGGCTGAGACATAGCTCAGTGCTGCCTGGGTTCAATCCCCAGTATGATGCCAAAAGAAGAGAGAGAGAAAGAAAGAAAGGGTGGAGAAGGAAAAGGAGGGAGGGGTGGGGCAGATGGAGGGAAAGAGGAAAGGAAGAAAAAGAATTGCTCTCAGAGCCGGCCTTCTGGGAGAACACAAATGACAGCAATCAGGGATCTAAAGAGGCCTAGCATGCTAGAAGACTAGGTGCAGGAAGAAAGGACAACCACATTTTATTAATACATGCAAATATTTGCATTCCAAGAGTGGGAACTGGAACTTATATCTTACTCCATATCCTTTGTACAATTTGAATTTACCGTGAGCATGTATTACTTTTTAGGGCCTATGAATGAAACTCAAACTTTGAGCTTTTTGCCTCTGGCCCCAAGCCCTGGGATTTAGTTCCCATGCAACTATGTGGTGACACAACAGGCTGGTCCTCATTGCTGGGGCAGAGTCCTCTTCAGTCTTTGAGTCAGTCAACATCTACACCAGGGATGGCAAAGGACTCCCTAAGATAAACCGGGCTCTCATTTCTCCTTGTAACTTTAGAGGCACATCTCTCTGGGCCCAGGTCCTCATGAGTAAAGCGACGTGGGTGATGATCAGACAAGAGCTCTGAGGTCTTTTTCAGCCACCAAGGGGCCAGTCTGGGGATGTCCTCTGGCACACTTGCATCCTTCAGACACGCCGCTGGTACAACTCATCCGCTAGGCTGGCTGTGGAGGAAGCAGTCAATAGGGCCAGTGGCAAATAAGCACTGTGGTGGACCTGCTCTCCCTGATAGAAGCCGTTGGGGATGTTTGCATGCTTTTCCTTCCAGTTCATGCCAATTAACACATTCACTTAGAAGGCAGTTCCTTCCAAAAATACACCAAAGGAGCTGCATGCTCCAGTTACTGTGATCCAAGATCATCCTGGCCCACGTTCCATGAAGGAGGCCTCCAGCCCTGCCCTTCGCTTCCTTCTTCCCTCGGCCTCTCAACTGCTGTTGTCATCCTCCTGGTGAGCTAGAAAGCAGAAGGCAAGGCACCATGCAGTCACTGATGCCACTACTCACACTGGCCTGGCTCAGCTTGGATAACCCACTGCGCTGCCCTCAGCACCCACTCACTTTCTCTTGAGTGGGTATTGCAGCATCTGGCAGCAGCTTAAACTTGCTACCCCAAAGAGGGTAGTGAGGTAATCCCCACTGCCATCTGACAAGTGCCTGGGGTGAAAGGGTCTGTGTGTAGAGGAAAGAGCCTGATTCTCTGAACTTCCAGCTCTTCACTGATGTCCTGGCACCAAGATGAGGTGAAAGGCTAACTTAGATTTTTCTCTTTCCCACAAAAGCATCTTTTATTCCACAATTGACACATTTCAGGGAAGACTTCACTATACAGTGGCTCGGGACAAGAAGCTCGGTAGTCATTGGCCACTCCCACCCATTACCCTCTGGTAACCCAGAGAGCTAGGGAGACAGGCACAGAGTCCCACAGTGTGAAGGCTAATATACTGAAGGACAGAGAACAGGACATTCAGATTTGATGGAGGTGGCTCTAAAAGAGCAAGGTGTCAACTGGGCTGAGGGGTGCTCCGCCATGGCGAACTGCCAGACTCTCAAAGGACAGGGCAACAGCTGTGGAAAGGTGACCCAAGAGGAAGGGTAAAGTTGTCTCAACTGAGCAAACCTGAGCCATCAAGCTCTTGGGAACTTGAGAAATGGTCAGTCATATAAGGTAGCAACATCCTCCTCACCCACCCAACACACACCCTAGTGGTCCTGCCCTTCTCTTTTGGTCATGCTTACCCAGAGCACCACACACAGGAGGATAAGGATGTGAAGGGACGATACTTTCACCTTTTGGGGGGAGGGTTTGGTACTGGTGATTGAACCCAGGCCCTTTACATGGAGCTACATCCCTACCCCTTTTTATTTTTATTGTGAGATAGGGTCTTGCTAAATTTCTAATTTGCCCAGGCTGGGCTCAAACTTGTGCTCCTCCTGCCTCAGCCTCCCACAGTACTTTTTGCCATTTAACTTCTCTGAAGGTAGCAATAGTAATGATAGAAATCTGAGTTCACATTTTTATCTTCATCCAGTCAAAATGGCTGGTGCCCACAATTCCAGCCTTATCCCCATGGAATGAAAGCAAATCCCAAGTCTGACTGATGGACCACAGTATCTGGAATGGACTCGTGCTTGTGCTTGTTTTTGAACGTGAAATTTTTATGACATTATTTTTCTTTTTTAAAACTTAGGGCATATATGTAAATTGTACTGATAAAATTAATAAAATTAATTTTAAAAATTAAAAATTTACGGCTTTGGGTATAGCTCAGTGGTAGAATGCTTTGCCTAGTATGCATGAGGCCCTAGGTTCAAACCTCTAGGAACCTCCCAAATTTTCTAGTACAAAAAGTATACAAGTTACACAGAACCCATTCTGACTAGACATAGTCACTATACTAGTTGTGTCAAGATCATCTAGGCATCATACATGCTCTGCTGTCCCCAGATTGCTTTTCCCCAATGACAAATTGAGAGGAATGTCACATAGCTGCATCATATAGTGTTAAAACTTTTTGCAAATTTAACTGTTTGTACCTTCCCCTGCTCCCCAAAGTGTAGGGGTGTCAGGGTCATTCTGCTAAAGAGCCATATGTCCCAGAATAAAGGTGACTGGGAAAGGTGGTATAAGCTTGTGTGATACCAGTATTTAAAGAAACATTTCTTGCAGGTCCCTGCACTCAATGCAAGTACTCCACCTGAACTCAGGGGAAATGGTGATCCATTCCAATGCTGAGTCCTATATATAAAAGGGCTCCAAACCGGCACCTGGCAAGGTGTTTAAGAGCAACCTGGACATTATGTCATTTTGTCTTAGGCTCAATTTAGTACCCAATGCTAGTGAGAGGATTCTACTGGCCAGACACTGTTTGTATGTCCCCTCCCCTCCATTTAGCTTATCTTGAAAGTTATCCCAAATCAGTATATACAAATCTATCTCATTCTTTTATGGAGCATAAAACATATGGCTTGTTCACTGGAAGTAACTCTATTCTCATATCACAAAGGAAAGAAAAACCTTATCATTAAAAAAGACAAATGAGGAACAAATGTACAAACCAAGAATACAGTATTTTATTTCCAGGTGAGTATTACACAGCATATACATATATTTAGATATATATATAAAACAAAGAATAAACTGTAGAAAGAAATATTGGTTTGAAATTGCCTTCTTGGACAACTTTATTTCTCTAAGTTCGTGGTAAAAGTATCTCCCCACATACTGGGGTAGGCAGCAGGAGAAACTCCAGGAGTCATGTATCACTCAAAGCACTGCTTATCCCCCACTGTACTTACGATGCAGTTACGGAGTTATGGTCACTAGTGTCCATGACAAGGTGACCATAGCACAGTGAAGTACAAATGTTTTTTGCATTGTTCTCAAGGTAGTTTCCTTAAGGGTCACGTTCAGGGTCTATCTTGAGTTGCATTCCAGTTATTGCTGAAGGAAAATAAAAAGTGGCATCAGTTTACATTATTAGAAAACAGCCAATGCCACCAGCCCTCTACCTCTGGCAACACCTGAGTGGACCCTGAGCTTACACCTACAGGCAAGCATGTGGTAGCAGGGACCTAATGGGTGTTAAGAACTGGGGGCTGACAAAGAGGCTCAGATGGCAGCCTGAGAGCAGGAAGCAACAGCATGCCCTCAGTGGGGGCAGGATCACTTGTAGGGGAGGAGATGGCAGTTGGAGAGTATTTCACAGAGGCATCCTTGATTCAGTCCTGATGCTGGAAGAAGACCTAACATATTATGATATGAGGCACTCAAAAGTGTCACCTACACAGGCCTAGCAGCTGAGCTCAGATTAGAGCACTTCCAGGACACAGCTCCCCAGTTCCTAGCCCCGTCCAGCTTCCTCTAAGGAAGGTTGCCTTACCTTTGCCTTATTCTGAACTGGGAGATACAGTTTGAACTCTGCCGGCAGCTCATCTTCTGAGTAGAGCCTGTCTGAGAAGTAAACACGTCGGATGCGGCAGTTTGCATGGATCTGTGGAGGCAAGACTCATTTTGACAGGATTGACATGACTGGTTTCCTCTTTTCCTGATTCTCCTAGAGGCCCTTTCACAGTGCTGTCAAAATTGCATCTCTCTGGCATCTCCTCAGCTCCGCTCAGGGGTGGATTCAAGCAAGAAAGAAATTATACTTGATGGATCCACCCATATCTGAGCAGACTTCTGAATATTCCTGGACCTTCTGAGGCCAAAGCCCCATGGACAATGACTTGAGAACTTCAGCCAGAAATCTAATGGGCCATAAGCCAGCATCAGTTACACATACCCTGTTACGTCCCCAACGTGGAGCTCTGTCTGTGAAAGAAGCAGTACCTGTACTCTTAGGGTCTCAATGTAATTTGTGCCATATGCCCGCCGGGTGAAGTCAGATAAGTTGAACTGAATCTGGTTCCAGCCATCATCCAGCCGCATGGGCATGGTACAGATAAAGGGCTTGACACGAGTAGTGCTCTGATAGTTACTTGCCCGAAACCGCCGGCGCACATTTTTGTCATCTAGTACCTGTGACGAATAGAGTGAAAGAGTCAAGTCAACTCCATCTTGGCAGGGTCACACAACCTTATTAAGGACTTAAAATTCCCACAGCTCAGTTTCCCAAGGCTGAAACTCAGAGGAAAATAAACAGACCAGATACAGGTCACACACTAGATGCAGATGGCCTGCAAGTAACAGCTTATCCTATTTGTTGCCAAGACAACACCAGCTGCTTATGACATGACATACTTGGCAGGCTCTGAGACCATAGAATGATTTCATAAACATTGTTCCCTTTGAAAAATCAAAACCACTAAAATAGAGCATAAATAATCACTCCTCAAATGAACACCATGCTAACCTTTAAGCTTTGAAATTTTTTATTAGCTGATTTTCTAGGTGCTTAATGTTTCTTTAAAAGCCTGACATGAAATTTTCAATATTAAAACTAAATTTATTTCATGATAACAAGGGCTACAGCGTAAAGAAAGAAAAGAACATAAAACAAAAGGTTAATATTTTTGTAGGGCAACTTTTTCCTAACGTTTGGTATAGGTCAAGGAAGATTCATTAATACATACATACTCACCTGTACTTCAAAGGTGAAATATTTCTTCAGGTTTTTTATAATCATGACAAGGAAAGGAAGCTTAATTCCCAATGTCTTCTTTGGGTCTGCAGGACATGTTATATATGTAGTGCTGTAGAGGGGAAATGTCAATAAACCACTTGTGTTTTTTCCTTTGTGTTACATACAACACACAGTCCAAGAAGAAAAACTGGAACGCAGATTTAAAAGATTCATATACATTATCCAACGAGTCCACTGACCTTTCAATCAATGAATGGTTAAAACAACTGACTCAGAAGCCATACGTGGCAGTGCATGCTTATAATTCCCAGTATTTGAAAGGTTGAGGCAGGAGGATCAAGGCTAAACTGGGCTATGCAGTGAGTTCAAGGCCAGCCTGAACTACAAAGCGAGACTTGATCTCAAAAAACAAACAAAGGACTCAGGAACAAAAGCTTATAGTAAGAGACTAGGCACCAAAAATAAAATATATGAATACCAAAAAAAAACACCAGTGGAACTTAGGACATTCATCTAGTCAGAAGATTTCAAATTTGATCCAAGGAGGCTATGACACAGAAAACCCAAATGAAGACCACCATGGCAGCACTGAAAACTACACTGTCCATCCACTGGATGCTCAGCACAATACCCCACCACCCTCTGGTTAAATAAGAATACAGCTATCAGTTACACCATGCTTACTCTGTCCTAAGCTTGACTCTACTAGGTGTTATACACATTCACTTATTTAATCCTCACAATAGCCCTGTAAGGAACATATAATTATCCCCACTTCACAGATGAGGGAAATAAGACCTGGGAGATTAAGTAATTTGCCCAAGGTAAGCTCTATGTAGCAGAGCTGGATTCACAAGGCAGCCTGACTCTGTAGTCCTTGTTATTAATGTCAACGGCATACTCCTCTGCGCAGACCATGTATCTGGGAGAACAGAGCTGGCAACCTACCTGACATTTGTCCCTTCAATTTCTAACACCAGAGACTGAATGTCATTATCAGTGATTCTTTTGATGTGGCCATTTCGCACCTACAAGGAAGAAAATTGATTAGTTAGTACTAAAAATGTTTGGCAACAATTTTGTAAAGATTTTAACAGCCAAACAGGACCACTTAAAGAAAACCACAGTAGCCCAAAGGGCTTAAAAGAGAAGTTTGTGACAGTTTTTTGTTTTTATTTAAAAACAAGGTCTTGCTATATAGTCCAGGCTGGCCTTGGAACTTCTGATCTTCTTCCCTCAGGCCCTCAAGAGCTGAGATTACAGGCATGCACCACCACACCTCACTCAAGTTTGTAACAGTATGTTGAAGCCTATGCATTAGGAAACCATGCTATCCCCTCTATACAGTGCCCCATCAGTCATCACAGGAATCGCAGGTAACCAAGCAATCTGTCATCAGGGCAAATTTCTTTCCAAAGAAACCAACTCAACTTAAACTCAACCAACATTTATTAAGTATCTACTCTGTATTAGGAATGTTCATATATTTTACTAAATATGTCTTACTAAATTATCTTAGCAACAAAAATCCTAAGATAGGTAGTATGATATCCATTTCACAATGTGAACATTGGCACCCAGGAAGTGTAAATAACAGATCCTAAGTAGAAGACTCAAGATTTAGGAGTACTGGATCATGTACACAGTACTTTGTTTCACAAACTCAATTCTTTCCACAATACTGGTTTCCAGCCAAACTGGACAAGAACCAAATCAAATTTCCCCATGAGGTTAACACTGAACCTAACCATTGAATATGATTCGGTTCTTATCCAACTTGTTTTGCAACCAAAATTGTGGAAAGAGTCAAGTTGGTGAACCAAAGTACCACTGTACTTCTCTGGCCACAAAGTCAAGGAAATGCTGAATGCCACTGACAAGGAGGGAGGCACCCAAAGAGTCAGGATAGGGTTCACGCCTACTTCATGCTTCTTCATACTTATCTATTCCTTAGTCTATAATTTTTCAAATATGAATTCAAGTCTCATCTATACCACACACAGACACCTCCTTCTTTTTTTTTTCTTCCTGGTATGGGGATCGAACTTAGACCTTGTACTCCCTGGCACACAGACACCTTTTCTTCTCTGATCTGTTTTCCTGACTCATGTTGCCTAGACTACATAATATAGTAGCATTTCATCCTACATTTATTGGATTGTTTGCTGCATATACACTAAAGTTCATGTTAAGGAGAAATCCATCCTGAATATGGATTAATGATCTCAAAATATTTAGAATAATTATCTTCAAGCACTAAATTCTTAAGTACCTAATATGGACAGAGCAGAGGCACACAAAGGCACTCTTGAGACAAAGCAGAATACACTAACACAGGGAAAAAGATCAGCCAGGCCAGCTGGCTTGCTCGCTTATTTATTTATAAGGAAAGGTAGGAAAGGTTTATTGGGGAACAGGAATAGCTCCTGAAAGACAGGAGGGATAATCTGTCAGGGGTGATCTAGACAGCAAAGTTACAATGTGGGTACAACATGAGTCAAACTATAATCAACCAGTAAGATTACAACTATATCAGCTCAGCTAATATGGATCCAACAGGGAAGCAAAGCACATAACAAAGGATACACATGGCTGACATCATTAACCTGAGGTTCTCTATGACTTCTAAAACAGGATAATTTGGGGGAAGGGGTGGGTTCAGGTGTCCGATGCCTATCTGAACTTAATGGACTGGGTGGTACCGATTACAGTACAATCTCAACTTTCCATTCATCCCTTAGGGAAGTCTAGTCATTGTAATTTTTATCTTGAAGTCTTGCCTTCTTCAGATGTGTCTCCAGCCAGTTTTGGTGTGTACTGCACTGACTTCCTCAAGGGCCTGTCCCTGCCTGCCTATTAATTTTTACCTAACTCAGCAGCCTATAATATGCCCCCTCTGAAGGAATATTCCTAACTGCAATTAGGGGAGACTAGGTGAAGTTTCAATCTAGCTGCTTCAAGCTGAGAAGGGTCAATGTAGGGAAGACCGCAGTCAGGGGCCTTCTCCAGAGAGCTAATCTAATAGACCTTGTTTAGAAGTCATGTTGGGTTTTAATAGGTTGATCTAGTGGATCCCATAAAGGGAGTCTGGCAGCCTCTAGGTGAATATAAACTCACTTTTCCAAGAGATTAAAGCATGTACATTCAAAGCAAGAGCACCTAAATGGAAAGACGGGTTGAGGAAAGAGTCACATCCAAACATTGCTCTTAAGGGTGTGGAACAGATTGTGACCAGCTAGCTCTTAGACCACTTTATTGATGGAGCTTATCTATAAGTCTGATGTTTAAGATTTTTTTCTTTACCAGATCTGAATTATATACCTAAAGGCCGCAAAAATTTCCCTCCAGTCTTAGATGTAAGAAGATGAAGAGTTTGGTGTTTTTTTTTTTTTAATTGAGTTTATTGGTACAATCTAGGTATACAATACAGTTACATTCATCATTGGGATCCTGTACCTTTACATAATTGGTCTTGATTCTCATTTTTCCCCCTTGTCCCTGCCCTCCCTTCACCCCCTCCTCCCCTCCCCATTTACAAACACTTTATTTCCATTTTTTCAGTTTCTCATATTTTTTTCCTCTCCCTTATTACCTTTCCCCCACCCTTCCCACTTTCCCTACACCTTTAGGCCTTTACTTCCTATTTCACATTATTATCTCAATAGGATCCTGTGTACTATTATAGTTATTCACACCAGAGAAACTATTCAGTATTTCAGTTAAAGAAATCTCTGTATGAACATTAAAAATAGGGAATCCTAAACTAAAACTAAGAAGGAAAGTGGAAGAGAAAAGACAATGATGTAACATTAAAATAATCCTTAATTCTGGAGATGAAAATGGTCCCTGAACATATTTAAATTGCTTCTTGCTCTTGTAATCTTATGAGTTTGGTGGTTTTGAAGGACAATTTTAGCTAAGGAATATAAAGATCCTTGCTGAGTTTTTTTTATAGCTGCTAGTATGGCTTTTTAGCCTCACTGAACCATAACAGTGGCTAACTATAGGTACAGCTGGAAACTGCCATTGGAGCCCCCATCTACCTTTTATTATTATGGGATTATTTTTATACATCTTTTGGTTATACAGTACTTTTCAGCTGGGTGTTTAAGATCAAGTTAAAGTGAGACCTGTGTTAATAAAAATTAACCATTCTCCATATATCAAGGTCAGTTAAGTCTCCTCAGGCATTACTTTCGGAACCATGTACAGAGCCACTCAGCTCCTTTATCAGCTGCTAGGATGGGTCATAGTCTTGCTTGACCATGTAGCTTTCTCTGAAAGAGAGACTTCTCTCTCTGGTGACCCTCCTTTTTGGCACTGTATATTTTAAATGTGGGCCCAACAATCCTCCTGCTCAGGAGGTTGGGTGACTCACTGGAGTTGTAGGATCTTGTGGAAAGGTCCCTCATGTCCTGGGTCCTTGTTGACCTTGGAAGCCAGGGCTAAAATATTGACTGATCTCTTAGCCCAGTTATTTTTCTAGCTCTCAACTCCAGCCTCAGTTGTTGAACACCCAGAAGAGATCATCAACCAGTTGTAAAACAGTACATCTGACAGACAAATGTGGTCTTTTTCTAGGTACTGTGCAATGACAGTGTTGGGCTGTCATTCTCAATGACTCACTTATACTGGCTAAAGCTTCCAATGTTCACTAATCAGCCATCTGATTACAATATTGTTTTGCGTACAGAAAGAGAATACAGTGTTAATCCCAACAGCTGTATTTTTCCACATGGATTATTATTAATATGGTATTCTGCTTCAGGCAGTAGTCTCTATGAGCTGTTACTGAGTTTGACCCACATGTGGTGTGCTTGGTGCTTCCCAGGTGACATCTGCTGTCACTGTCCACCTTTTCCTACATCTCCAACTGAGAAAGTATAAAGCTTAAGGAAGAGCAGGGATCAAGCTAATTAAGTTCACTTCTATCTTCTACAATACTTAGTATTGTTCTAGGCATAAACTGAGCATTCAAGTATGTGCTGACTTCAGGAATTTGGCAAAAATGAATACTTGAGGAGGTTTGAAACACTCCTGGGCAACATGTCCACCACGGACTGTAATAGGAAGCTGGAGACCCTGCGGAGACTCACAAAGCCCAGAAGGATTCCAGCATGAGGAACACCTTCCCACAAAACATCCTTCAGTGCCACTGCCAGAAGTGGAATGCTGGGCTAGCTGAGACCCCATCTCTGCCGATGTAGCATTTCCTGGGTTCTCAAGATACAAACATCACATTGAAATGCTTCTCAAACAAAGCTGGCAACATTCAGTGCCCTCCTGCTTTGAATTCTGGGCCTCGTGCCAAGGGAGATTAAGAGCACAAAGGCTTGGGTCTGTGTAGAACATGCCAACACTGCCCACCTCCTTCCCCTAGTAAATGCGCCAACCAAAGTGGCAGATACTCCTCCTGAATTTTTTGTGGAAACCATGCATCCTTGGTAAAAGAGTAATCAATCAAAAAATTTATTTCCAAATAATATGATGCAGCCCTTATGATAAGAGCTCTCAGTATTCCAACAAGATGTAAACACTAATCATTCTTGATAATATAAACATTTTGTCTTTATAAAAGTGTATGCTGCAAAGATCAAACGTGGTTATATTAAAATCAGTAAGTAATTAGGGAGCTACAAATGTAGGCAAATGGTAAAGCCTTTAATATGCCCTGGCTTTGGTACGCAGCACCACCCCTCAAAAAGTCATTAGGGCCTGAAGACTACTACTGCTAAAAGACAACATATCACTATTTATCCCACATAGTTTTAAAAGATGGCCTCAAACCTAAGCAGGCGTGGTGACACATGCTGTGATCTTAGCACCCAGGCTGAAGCAGGAAAATTTCTGTGAATACTAGGCTGGCCCAAACTACAAAGCAAGACTGTCTCAGAAAACAAACGAGCAGGTGCCGGGGATTTAGCTCAGTGGCACTGTGCCTGCCTCCCAAGCTCAAGGTCCTAAGTTCGATCCCCAGTACCAAAACAAACAAACAAACAAACAAAAAATAGACTTAACCCTAACACCC